ACCATCCAGACCAAGTTCGCTGAGTGCACAGTTCTTACAATCGCGCACAGATTGCATACTGTGATGGATAATGACAGTGTCCTGGTAATGGATGCCGGGCAGATAGTGGAATTCGGAGCACCTCACAAGCTTTTACAGCGTAAGGACGGAGCTCTTCTAAAGCTGGTCAACCAAAATGATGCTGCTACCATTAAGTTTCTCAAAAAGATCGCGTCGGAGAGCTACATGCGCCGCAACAAAAGAGACTCCTTTACAATAGCAGAGGAGTGAGCAGGAATCGCCTCCGGATACAGGACCAATCTCAAGCCGCGGCTTTCAGAAATCGTACTGCCTCGGAGAACAGTCAAATTCGGTTTTATTGGTACGAAAAGTGTACGATAAAGTGTATTTACATAGCAGTATTATTACGCTAGTACTAATGATAGTTCGGCACTTAAAACGAGGAGACTCTGACACACGCGCGCACACACAAGATTACAAAATAGATGTATATGTATATGTATGTAGGTAATATATCAAAACTGTAAACTTGATGGATAGCCTAGGATGATGGTAAAAGATCCATTAAAAATAACATTAGGTATTGACATGTATGGGGTAAAACTAGGATCAGAAACACTCTGATATGCTCTCGAATGGAAACAAAACGTTCTTTATGTATGCTATACAAATGCCAGGCTATGTACACAGAACGCTAGGAAACAAAAATAAATACGGTCAAACCACATCCGACTCGGCGGTCATAGCCGCTTCTTCCTGCTATTCAATCCGTATCCGATGAGATGCGCGTCGCAGGGCGGTGAACTCCTTGAAGACCAGTCGAGCCAGCAGCACCATGGCTATGATGTCGGCAGCGATGAGCATGTGGAAGACATACTGCCATCCGGCGGTAGAGATGAGTCCTGCGAGCAGCGGACCAACTGCCGCTCCGATCGACCCAGTTCCATCGATAATGGCCGTCACGGTGGCCAGTGCATTTGCATTGCCCTCCAGTGAGCTGTGCTGGCCCAGCTCCGCACTAACTGACGTGGTAATCAGGGCATAGGGTCCATTCACAAAGATGCCGACTATAATCAGAAGCACTATGCTGATCGTCATTGACAATGCACCATATTGTTGATACAACAGCAGCTAAAATTCAGACAATAGTGTGAGCAACAATAGATTGGTGTTCTTTATTCGGGGGACTTACAATGGGCGACGCTATGAACAACATGCCTGTGCAAACTGTGGCTGACATCCCACTCACATCCGAAAGATAGCCCGCAGCTATAGCTCCCAAAATACCGCCCACATCGAAAAGAGTGGACAAATCAGCAGACAATGTAGGACCCAAAGTGCCTGCAGAAAAATAGTTATGTCATAGATCCAGGTTAACTTTATGGCGGCGGTTCTAGGTTTCTCTGGATAGTTACTAGATTTCTGAATGTAGAGAGGCAGCCAGTACATGAAGGTGTAGCTGACCAGCTTGGTGAAGAACAAACACAGGGAAAACTCTACCACTCCGGGTATGAATAAAGCATCAACTAGGCTTATGGGTCGTCCATGTCTCCTGGGATGAGCCTCTGCTTGAGAACGAGGAAGAATTGGAGTGCGTTCGGTGGGCGCCGGCCTATAGTTGATTTCCTGCAAAGAGTAAGGCATTAAGCAATCTACTTAAAATTGAAAGCCGAGCAAAGCGCAAGATTTACAGAAGCAATCTGGCCAACACTACTAGACAAGCAATCATACAGTCATGCACTTACGCTTTTCGAAGAGTCGTACCCCAAATTGACCACAAACTACCGCCGAGCAAAGTACGTTTTTGAAATCAAAATCGCAACATAATGGGGAGACCGAGTGTAATATACTTCGCATGCGGAACACCAATCAAAAAGTGAAACTGATACTTACGGCATCGTTGTGGCGCACCTGCTCCTCGTCATCCTGTTCCTCATCCGAATCGTTGGCCACGCGTCGCTCCTGGTGACCGGAATCTGGGTAACAGCCCACTATCTCCGGCTGGTCGACCAGGAAAAGGAAGAGCAAAAAGCCTATGGCTGCAATTATGATGCCGGGCACCACAAACGACAGAGCCCAATCCGTCTCCACGTAATGCGCCGCTATCAGCGTGCCCAGAATATTTCCAATGGACGTATGGCTGTTCCAGATGCCAAAGATCAAGCCACGCTTGGACTTTCCAAACCAACGACCTACGAGCGCCACGACGCCTGGCCATCCAGTCGTCTGGAAGATGCCAGCGAATATTTGCACAATAACGAAGTACCACAGACTATGGATATTTGAGGTGCGGGCAATGCCAAACATATAGGTGAACACTCCGGTGAGGATCATGCCCATGGAAAGGAAGTACCGCAGGGAAACGCGCTCCGCCACAAAACCAGAGGCGAACATGGCGATGGCATAGGAGAAAAGGAAGGCCGAGTCCAACATTCCGAAGAGTGTGGTGGCATCGGGAACATCTGTGAATTGGGTACATGATCTAAGCTTATAAAGATTATAGGAAGAGTTTATGAAAACTCACCGAAGGGCGCATATCCACATTCCTGACCCGATGCGGCCAGCGCCGTGGAGCAGTTTCCTTGGAGCACCGATTTAACTACGGATATGGGCTTGCGGCACATGTGGTAGCAGGCGTAGGCCAGGAAAGTTAGCACAAACACGGACATCTTGTACCTGAAAAATCAAATCAATATATATTACATATATGTAAATATTAAGTATTATAAGTTGAGGAAGGGCAACGAAAACTTCAATTATTTTATAACACATTACAAAAGATCAATAATTATAACATTAGTATTATATGCAAATAACCGACTGAACAACTGAAATGTTCGTCGGTGCGGAAATGTGAGACAGAAATCCAATACTAAAGAGATTCTTTGTGTTTTTGTTAAACCAATTTTGTATGAATCAGTCGGATTATTAATTTTTAGCGGTAATGATCCAAATTATTTTCTCATAATATTTACTGCTATGAGGTATTATTACGTTTCTAAAAATTTAAAAATATATAAATGTTCAACTAGTGTTAATAGGTACAATAAATAGAAAATATCCTAAAGTATTTTTAGGGATATATGTTTTTCTGGAAGGTATCGTATATACTTACAGCAGATCTCTGCGAGCGTGGAACCGGGTGCAGCATTGGCGGGACAGCCGCTGGATCGCCCGGATGCCGAAGGGCACGTCGTTGTAGTTGTTGCTCATCTTTCGCGTTCTGGCCAATCCCAGTGGAGCTCTCATCGACCGGCGAGGGCGATGGGCGAGGTGCAAGTGCTGCTCGTCCAGGTGGCTGGGTTCCCGTTTCCGTTCCGGTTGCGAAAAAGCCAGCTACCTGCAAGAACAATGATCAACAGGTAGGTGGTGAGTGATTTGCCTCCGAGGTGACTCAGTACGAGATACATTTGCTATATGTGTGTTATGTGGGGGGTAGGAGTACAGGTAGGTTAGAGGAGTAGGGTGGGTCGCGGTTTCTGCTGAGGCCGTGGAAACGAGTGCGGATACAGTATCCGACCTTATCGCCATATGTTTCTTTAGTTCTCTTGTTTACTTCGCAGTTTAATTCATTCCGCTCAAACAATGACGCTCCGTATCGCAGTTTCCGCTGGTTTTTCTATTCTGCTGTGTTGGCGAAAAAGTTGCCACTTTGATAGCGCTCTTCGGTTTGTGATAAGGAATAGCAAGTACTTTATCTTGAAGGCCGCAGACAGTTACCTTACTTATGACGATATCACATATGTCCGTTGTTTGTGATACCTCCAGCACAGTTTATTTACTTCTTTATCACTTATCCTAATCAATTTACAGAGTGTTCCAGCGTCGACTTGTGGCGGATATTATAACTCTTTTGTTTGTTGTCGCCCCCAAAAAAACGGAAAATCTTGTAGAAGCTAACAGATTGTTTGGGATTCAACAGTGCGACATTGAAAAACAGCCCCCAAGATTTATGATTACCGTTAAACACACACTAAACAGCTGCAGTAAACATTACTCCGTCGGAGAATAACAAAATAGACAACCTGAAGTTCCGGAACCAGAGAATTATCGAAGACCAAGCCGTACTCCTCATAGAAACTATCGATGAGCACCAATATACCAAAAATACTCCTCAAAAGGTCATACTAAAAAATCGATGTCAAGATAGTGAGTACACCATGCTGACATAGCGGAGACACACTCCTGGCTTAGCAATGCAATTTTTGATCAAAACTACGTTAACTTTTAAATTTAATTTAAAAAATAAATCACTGAGTCCTTTTAAAAACTTTGTTTGACAAGATAGCATAAAATATAGGTGGTATATTTTTTAGAAGGAATTTTCTTCAAGGCAAGTTTTTTTTTAAATCGTACGCACATCAATGCAAATTTTAACTTTCTTAAGATTAATACATATGTTTTTCATTTTTTGTAATACCTCTTTTTTTATATATATTTATTTCGGAAAAACCAAACGAAGTTTCAAAATTTAAAATAAGACAATCCAATTGTTATATATATTCATATAATAGCACGTGTGTTACGGTCCAGTTCAATTTTATAAGAAACCTCTCGTAACTGTTCTGTAAGTCCAGAAAAGGTATTACTTTTACATGATCGATACGCCATTTATTTAGGTAACCACCACTTGCCTCTAGATTTATGTACTTTTGCAATTAGAAGTTGACACCTGATCCCGGAATTACATTTCCTTAGATCATCGTGTAATTATTCCTTAGACACGCGACCGAATAAACAAATAAGAATTAGTCATATAGTTACAGTTTGTTGACAACAGAGATTACCAGTCGGGAAAAACACTAAGACCCTTGTGCACATGACCTGAATTTTCAATCAGACTCGACTGAGAGAGGAAAATGCTCTGGGTTTCAGCACTAGTACGCTAATTTCCTCCGCCTGCAGTGTGAAAATCAAGGCGAGAAACAAGAACAATTGGAGGTGCTAATCACAGCGAGCAAAAACAATTTTGCCAATTGTATAAAATGCGAGGTTCAGCCAACTGAAGCCACACTTGACAACCCGCAGTTTAGCTAAAAACAACTGAATTTTGATAACAGAAAACCCAATAAAATAACTATTAAAATGCATTGCAACAAGGTAAGGGCAGCTGAAAACTTTCAGTCTAACTTGATCCAATACTAACCTTTTTTTATTTGAAAAATAGATAATCCTTCAACTGCTTGCCTGTTTTGCGACCCTGGAGCTGGTCTTCGGTTATCCCCAGGAGCGTATTACTTCAGCGGAACAGATCCAAAGACTAAGCGACGCCAACGGTGGAGAAAATCAAGCACTTAAATCCAGTGAGGTCCTCGATAACCTGTACAGATATGAGAGAACTTTGAGCAGATTCCGAAGAGCTCTGGAGGAGCTGGCCTATGAAGAGGCGGCTGATGACATGGAGCTGGCCGAGATCAATGTATTCCGACCTCTTTTCCGTTACCGATCTCAGGTGGTGAGGGCAAAGAATCCCCAGCAACAGCAGTTTGGCTAACTGATTAATAGAACTTAGTAATTTAAGCTTTTCACCTCGACACATTTCCAAAAAACTGATCATATACCATTGATATTTTTATACAAACCTAGACTCTTAAGAAATAAAACAAAACTTATTTATATTGTTAAACATTTAAATATTTTATTATTTTATTGTTGTAGAGCCTATGCGCTTTGCAAATATCCACACGTGATTAAGCATATGTACACACCAATCTATATAGTTCTCATTAGAGTTAGGCATATTATTGTAGTTTTTTCATGTTTCCACATTGAGCACATTTACATGAAGGCTTTGTGGATGACACGTGAATTCCTTGCATTGCACTATTATTTTTTGGAAGGATCCCTAGTATAAACACACCGATACGCACACATACATATTTGACTAAGGAAGACACAAAGAATATTGAATTCTAATTCTACATTATAACATATGATGGACACTCATCTAGGGTTATGTAATATTTTATTTTATATTCTGACTAGGCAGCTAGCTAACACTCGATTAAAGACCCTGTAAGACTCCCCTATGCTGCAGAAAATGAAAATAACAACTCGAAATACACACATACACACTATATAAATCTTATATGAAAATCTTTCGCCTTGGCTACATGTACTTTGTTTGATGGGAACATATTGCACACCTTTCTCCCTTGTAAATAGCAAAGCCGCTAGCCAGCTTATGAAAAATATTCCCCCTACTTGCTCATGGCTTAGAAAAGTTACTATAGTTGCTAGTTAAGTACATAAGTAGTGTTTTCCTCTGTTTAGTTATTAGTATTTTTGGTTTTGCTCCTTTCGCTTGGTTCCATTAAGTTGCTCATACACATGGTCGCTGCTTGCGTTGCATATGTCCCTATGTTTTACATTAAATTTGATTTAATTTTTGATTATCAGGCTTACGTTAGACATTACGAATAGCTGTTTGCACATACTCGTAAGTATGCAAATGGTTGTTTACAGGCGGTTTGGGGACTAGGGGTTGGAGTTTGGATATTGGAGAGCTTCGAACCGTCGAAACCTGTTTACATATTAGATGAGCCCATCTGGTAGCACTTAGAGATAAAGCTTTCTGCCTGCTTCTGTCGGTTATACACACATATTCACACATCGACACACTTAGCCGCTAAGTATATAGACTTATAGATTTGTTTGATTTTTGATTTTCGGTTTTAGAGCACCTGCAGGTTCTCGCAGTGCTTGAACTTGGAGTCCTCCTTGCCCAGGATCCAGGTGAGCATCTGGCGGGCCTTCATGCTGGCCAGCATTACGCTGCGGCTTTTGTACCAGTGGGCCGGCGAACTGGCATCCCTGGGTCCCTGAAATCCAGTTAAATATGAGATAAGTCAAATTGGCCTCTTTCACAAATATAATAAATTCTCAAATGGGAGGAGAACAGGCTGGGTTTTTTTATGCTTCGGTTTATTTACATTTGGCTCTCTATTCAACTGCATTTTTATGGCCCTGCAGTACAGTTAGTCCATTTGGGGCGCCAATTGAAGTTTGCATTTTTCATGTTCTTTGTGCGAATTCTAGGGGAGTGGGCTCAGGATAATAAACAACAAACAAACAAAACACTTTTGGCAGTATCCTCAGAGTAGTTTCTGTACTTTCGGACACTTGACACATTTTCCTTGTTGGCAAAAGCTGGCAGAAATTGTTTTGGCAACAGATCAGGGGTGGAATGGGAACCTTATACATAATGAATAACAGTCCAACCACACATAAACAGGGAGTTACAGTCTAGATATTATTGGTTTTCACAGCAAAAGTGTCTAAACGTAGAAGGTATATTTTTATTTTGGTTGCCAAAGAAACATTTATTGAATTTAAGTCACTTAATAGATGCCTTCAAGTATGCTATGAATAATTCAACGACATTTTTCCAGTTCAATTTGTTGTAGCATACTTTTAGACACCTTTAAATGTTAATTTAGACTTTTATAGATTACTAAACCTCAGGAAGCTTTTTCCTTTAGACACCAAAATAAATCTTAAGATAGTTCCAAATATATATGGCACTCTAATGGTATCATGCTTTACTATATAGTTAACGGGTAGGGGTTCGAATAAAACATTAAACATCGATTATAATCAGTCCGAAAGTTAGGTAGTTCAACATTTGAAGTGGGTGTTTGGTCGGGTTTACATTCAGTTTTACTTACCCCTTCGACGGCTTTAAGATCAGTCAGACATTTATCAGTTTCTACAGTCTCTACGTTTGAATTTTCTTTAAATTTGTTTTTATCTTTTGATTTTTTCGGATTAAGCTGCGAAAGCGATCGATTGACATTGATTACAATACACTAAAAACAGAGATAGATTGGGGGGGACAACTAGCCAACCAGCTAACTGTTACGGCAACTAGAGCTATAGACCCATTGGATTTTTTGGTCGGTCTAATATCTTAAGGGATAATTGGCGTACCTGTAGCTGGACCTGGTCCTTCTTCAGCCGAATCTGGGTGAGCGTGCCGGCCAGAAGCTCGTCGCAGTTGTGATTGATGCCCACGGAGACCTCGATAAACTTGGCACCGAAAGTGCAGGCCAGACATTTGCCATCTATGCGGAGGAACGGGAAGGAGTAGAAGGATTTGGATTTGAATTTGGATGAGGACTCGCTTGGGTCACGCCACTTAATTGACGATGCAAATGAATGCAACGAGTTTGGGGCAGCGGCTAATTGCCATACACTCACCCTGGGCGGAAACGGCGCGTGAGCGGGCCAAATCAATTTTGTTGGCCACCAGAATGGTGGGTCGGTGGCGCAGCAGGTCCATGTCCTGCAGACGCGATAGTATCTGTTTGGCCCGCGTGAAGGACTCCTTGTCAATGCAGGAGTAGACCACCAGGAAGGCATCCGCCTGCTCCAGTTCGTCCTGCATAAAAAAGAAAACAAAAAGTCCAATTGAAACACGGCACTCAACAAGTTTACAACATTCTGGGCTCTGGTTTCTCGGCCTTCGTGACTGCCGAAAGTATTTAATGCCGTGTTTTATCGCAGCCCACTGGAGGTGAAATTAAAAGTTCTTAACTGCGCACCTTCAAGTGCAGGCGTTGAGCGAAAAGTCGAGCATCCATCCCAACGTAACAAAAACCTGCTTTCCTTTCCTTTCTTGGCTTCCTTTTGTTGGCCCGGTACTTTTGCATTTTATGCTCGTAAAAATTAAAATTATGGCCACTTGGCATCGCAATAACGTGGCGAGCGAAGGAAAAAGTTTCCGACTTGGCCAGACTTTTAATTATGTTCATTTATCTGGCCCATACATTAACAGGTCAGCGAAACGGCTCTATCGTCCAGGTTCTGAATTTTCCTTTTTAAAGGTGCGAATGCGCCTATTCATTAGCATTTCAAGGCGTATCAATATAGGGGCATGATCGGACTCACATGCCATTTAAAAAAATTTGTTTTATTTATAATAATAACATTTAAAATATAAACTGGGTTTAAAGTTTATCTTTAAAATAGAGTTCCGCTTACGAAAATGACATATATGGTTGTAAGGTTTCGAAATCGTAGTTTTCGTACATTTCAAGGCTTTCGTGGAAACATGTTTATGTATTTTTAAAAAGGTGTTATTGCATTTATCCAGACGTCCATTTTTATTTAGCTGTATAAAAATAATTTATTGTAAATAAAATTAGAAGCGTTTTGTAAAAATGCAATTGCATATTTCTAAAAATCAACAATGATTTAATTTTATTAAACAGATCTTGACTTTTGGTATTGTAAAAGCCGTTGAAATTTTTGTACAGCACGGAAAGAGACATTTCCAATTTAAATTTAAAATGTGATATTTATTTACATACGTACGAATTTATATCACAGCTTTACAATTTTATCTTTTGTATGTATTGTATTAATGCTTCTTTTCAATGCTTAATATACTTTTCCAACCTTTGGCAAAAGAGAAAATCGGTATGGCTTTAATTTTCAACTTCAAATCTGTAAATTCTTGGTGAAAGTTTTCACTTTTCACCGGAAAAGGTTTTGCAGTTGCCAGACGTTTGCCTTGGGGTATTTAAGCTGTCCAATCCTTGGCAAATACACTTTGTCTGCGGTGACGTCGGCAGGTTTTACTCTAGCCCGGGGTGCTGGCTTCCGATTCCGTGCCTCATAAAGCCACGCCAGGCACATCCGCATCCGACATTTGTAAATTTGGCACTTGCCAGTGGGCTCCAAGGTGCTCTGGTATTCTGGGATTGGCGGAGGCTTAAGGTCAAACCGTAAGCAATTTGTTATTTGCCTTTCCACGACTCTTGGGCTTTAATTCGTTTGATTCCTGTGTCGCATTCCCGAATGGATAAATTGTTGCCATTTCCTTTTGTTTGTCCTCATCCACGTCGTCATCGCCATCGCCATCGCCATCACCATCAACGGAATCGTCATCGGCGATTATAATTATCATTATCGTGTCCATTTGTATTGTTGGCCACCCTCAAAAGGCGGCGGCAAACGGCCCGTTGGCCATTTGGCCATCGTCCAGCAATTTGGCATTTCGATTGCACAGTGGCTCATATTGTTGTATTTATATATTTGAGTTTCCCCCCGTTTTCTTATTTTCCTTTTGGGCCAAACGTTGCAAATCGCTTCGCTTGCAGGCGGCGCCCGTCTGGCAGGATTTTAAATGAATTCCTTAAATGATTTCAAGGCAGCCTCCGGCATTCCGTGCACTTTGCCATAATTAACCGCAGTTCGCATCGAGTTTTCTGCGAAAGTTTTCATAGTTTCACTCTCGAACTTCCGGAACCTTTCATCCTTCATCCTTGTTGGTTACTCTGGGTGGGTGGTGGTGGTGGTGATGGTGCTATACCTCTCGTATTTCTCGAACTCATTTTGCATGTGTAATTAATTCACTTTGTGCAATTTATGCTCGCCCGGTTGGCAAATCACTCGCCGTTCCCCCGGGTAAATCTCTGCCAGGACAAGCTCATTTGTCTTGCTGACAGCCAGGACCTCGGGGCACAAAGCCAGTGGCTTTGTGGTTGGAGGCCAGTTAATGGTGAAATATTTAACGACAATTACAACACACAAATAGGGAACAGGCTTTGGAGTCCCCTGACAAATGGCTTACCTTGCTCTCCGGATTGCCGGTAAGGAACTTCAGCTCCGACTCGGTGCCAT